TTTACTGACGGAGGGGTTGTTAAGGAGTGCATGAGTGCGGTAGCTGAAACCTTGCTGGAGGGTAAACAAAAAGAAGAGCTTTGTGAAAAAATCAAGCAAATACCTATGTCAGCATTATCAGCCACAAAAAAAAGTGAATTGTTGACCCAGGATGTGCTAGCCCAGCTGGATGAAGCCATTCATAAGGCAACATGCTTAGGCTTATCTGTAGATGAGTCCACAGATGTGTCTGAGAATGCGCAGCTGTTAGTTTATTTGTCAGATTCTTCAACAAGGAGAAGAAAGAGTTCTGTGACCTGTTAGGTGTTACGCCCCTTCAGACCAGTACAAGAGGAGAGGACATCTACCTGGCCATAAAGGAGATGTTAACACAGAGGGGAATAGAGACAAAACAAGTGGTTTCAATAACCACAGATGGAGCCCCTGCCATGGTAGGGAGAGAGAAAGGAGCTGTGGCAAGAATGAAAGTGGACAATCCTGAGCTAATCTCTTTACCATTGTATCATTCATCAATCAGTTCTGTGCTCCACCCTGTCAGATGAGTATGCTGAGGTTATGAACACAATGATGAGAATGATTAACTTTCTCAGGGCATCCTCTTCCCATCAGCATCGCATGCTCAGGGAATTCCTCAGAGAAGTTGATGCAAATGCTGATGACCTTCTGCTGCACAACAATGTTAGATGGCTCAGCAAAGGCAGGCTGTTGAAGCGCTTTTGGTCCATCCGAAAGGAAATCGCAGCCTTTTTAGCACAGTTGAAGAGCCAGAAGGCAACACAATTTTCTCTCTTTTTAGAAGATGAGAAGAAGATGGATATGGTAGCATTTTTGGTTGACATCACTTCACACCTGAATGAACTGAATTTAAAGCTAGAGGGTAAGGAAAATACAGTTTGTGACCTGATGACAGCTGTCCGCTCCTTCCAGAGGAAACTTGAGGTGTTCAAGGAAGACCTGCAGGAAGACTGTGCACACTTCCCATCAGTGCAGGAACAGGTTCAGGGTGAGAGAGATAGATCTTCTTTTGTTGACTTTGTGGACAAGCTGATTGTAAACTTCAGCAAACGGTTTGACAGTTTCAGCCTTGGACAGCAGCTCACCCTGTTCATTCAGAACCCATTCCTCATCACAGATGTCAGGGGGTTCTCAAAGGAAGTCACACAGCACTTCAAGTGGGCAAATGCTGGGCCTCTCCAGATGGAACTGGTCGATCTCCAAGGAGATGTGGCTCTGAAAAAGAACTTTGGAGAGACTGACCCTGACACTTTCTGGCTCCAAATGGTCTCAGAGACAGCTTTCCTAGGTCTGAGGAAAGTAGCCCTGTACATCTTGACCACTTCACCAATGAGCACCTACACGTGTGTATGAGAATGGCCCTGACACCATTCAAGCCCAGATTTAAAATCCTGGCAGGCCAAGCTCGAGCTCACTTCTCTCACTGAACAAGAGAAAGTAGGGGAGTGGGATATAAGAGGAAAAGAAAGAATAAATTAGGTGTTAAAGCTGTTCACTTGTGAAGATGTTTCGAGATTGTTTATCATTTGTTATTAGTATTTTAGATTGTTTGTTAAGATGTGAAACAGAGTTAAAAAAGGACGAAAAGAAAAGGGAAACTCAAGCTGCCCTTTTTATTTCATTTTTCAAAAATGAAGCACTTTATTTTGATATGCACATTTTTCAAAAGCTCTATTTTATTTTTTACATGCAGCCCTTATTTTACTTGAAATGAGAGAGAGCATTTGTTTATTATTAGAATACTACTTATTATTTATAATCCCTGTTCAATGTGAAATCTGAACAAAGATTGTTGAAATATTATTGGATTTCTTTATTTAATCAGTCAGTTGTTGACTTCATACATACGTTGATACAACTACTAGGCTACTTTAATGTGTATGACACTGAACTATAACTCAAGTTAGACATTACGATGTTCCGGACCTATGCTTGAGAAAATGTTCTCTAACTGAACCTCTTTGAATTTTAATTGAATACCCCTCGTATAGAGTATAATGTAGAGGCCAGAGGACGTGTTTTCTTTATTTATATCTGTGTTTTTACCACCGCTGTAGTTAGAGTGATAGCCTACATCCTGTGAGGCCTGAGAGATAAGGAGGGTATAACGAACCACATTTTGGACCAAACTGAGAGATTCATCACAGTTTGTACCAGTCCATTGTAAAACTGTATTCACGCAATCAAAGATAGTGAAATAAGTGGAATCATTAACACTGTTACACTAACATCACATTAGTGTCTGCTCTGTTAAAAACACAGACTGAGCAGTAGTCACACATTCTCTGGAAGAAGCTTCTGGAGCACCAGAGTCAATAATATTCATAAAATCAGAGCTATTTAAGAAAACACTTTGAATCAAATGTAGACTAGGCCTACTGTACCATCCAGTGTTTCTAAATCCTCAAACTAATCAGATGTAGTTTATTTTATTGTTTGTTTTTTAGACTTTTAAAGGGAAAATAATGACGTGTGTTCTTGTTTTACATTTGAAATAAGTCTTAATATTTGTATATCTTCTGTACTGATTCTCTGCTCAGTCGGCTGTGAGCTTCATGACTTTAATCTGCGGCATTCACTGACCCTGACGGTGCAGGCAGACTTTTATTTATTTTTCAAATTAAGCTTTAATATAAACACATGTTTTAGTTTTTAATGTTGTTCTGAACTTGAAATATAAACACAGTCAGATCAGTGCGCTCTGGAAGTTTTAAAGTTGTGATTTAGGTAAAAAAAATATAATTCAGTACGTCTTAAAGTCCTTCTCTGAGAGCACCGACCTCCATTTGTTCTCTGGAAGAAGCTTCTGGAGCACCAGAGTCAAAATTCCTAAAATCAGAGCTATTTAAGAAAACACTTTGGGTAAAGACAACTTACTGAACATGGTTTATACATTAACTGGGTTCAGATCTGTTCTCCTGCAGCTTCTTCCTCTTTAATGTAGTCTGTGTAATGTGTAAGGGGTTGGGTTAAAGGAGAACAGGTTTGTTTGGTTTAAGGTTTAAGGTCACTGAATTACTTTCTTTATCAATCTGTGTTGCATTTTGTATTTCTCCATCTAAAGGTAACGTCTATGCATGTTTTATGTACCTTAAAGAAAGTAATTTATTTAATTGTGTCCTTCTGTTTGGAAAGTTTGTCAGAAAATGTATAGAGGACGTGTTTTCTTTATTTTATATCCATGTTTTTACCACCGCTGTATTTAAAGAGATACATCCTGTGAGGCCTGAGAGATACGGATTGTAAACAAACAACATTTTTAGATAAATAACTTTTATTAAATGTAGACTAGGCCTGTTGTACCATCCAGTGTTTCAAAATCCTCAAACTAATCAGATGTAGTTTATTTTATTGTTTGTTTTTTAGACTTTTAAAGGGAAAATCATGACGTGTGTTCTTGTTTTACATTTGAAATAAGTCTTAATATTTGTATATCTTCTGTACTGATTCTCTGCTCAGTCGGCTGTGAGCTTCATGACTTTAATCTGCAGCATTCACTGACCCTGACGGTGCAGGCAGACATTTATTCATTCATTTGTTTTCTGGAAGAAGCTGCTGGAGTCAAAATTCCTTAATTCCTCTTTAATTGAGCCTGTGTAATGTGTAAGGGGTTGGGTTAAAGGAGAACAGGTTTGTTTGGTTTAAGGTTTAAGGTCACTGAATTACTTTCTTTATCAATCTGTGTTGCAGTTTGTATTTCTCCATCTAAAGGTAACGTTTATGCATGTTTTATGTTGCTTAAAGAAAGTAATTTATTTAATTGTGTCCTTCTGTTTGGAAAGTTTGTCAGAAAATGTATAGAGGACGTGTTTTCTTTATTTTATATCCGTGTTTTTACCACCGCTGGATTTAAAGAGATACATCCTGTGAGGCCTGAGAGATACGGATTATAAACAAACAACATTTTTAGATGAAACTGAGAAATTAATCTGAGTTTGAGTGAACTCATACGGGTAAAGAATTCTTCATTAGCTTTATTTCAGTATTTAGAAGTTGGTTTAATGGTGTTTACTTTTTCATATCTTCAGAAGCTCGGGTACAAAATGAAGAAACACGTCAGCAGCTTTTACGCTATAAAACCTAAGATAACATTTGTTAGTCTACATATTGATAACTTTTAGAAAAGTTGATTAATATTAAAGGACAATTTGACGTCATTATTTAAACCTACACTTTAGTTTGAATAACTTTTGTAGGTTAGACAAAAAGGTTTATTTTGGGTTTTTCACGCCTTCATTTTAAGACAGGACAGTGGATAGAGTCAGAAATGAGAGAGAGAGAGAGAGAGAGAGAGAGAGAGAGAATGCGGTAAAAGGAGCCAGGTCAGATTCGAACCCGGGCCGCCCCCTTGGAGGTCCAAAGCCTCCGCTCATAACAATCACCAGACTACCAGCGCCTTCAGATGTTTATTTTAGAAGTCTGTTTAAATAAATAACTTTTAATAAATGTAGACTAGGCCTGTTGTACCATCCAGTGTTTCTAAATCCTCAAACTAATCAGATGTAGTTTATTTTATTGTTTGTTTTTTAGACTTTTAAAGGGAAAATAATGACGTGTGTTCTTGTTTTACATTTGAAATAAGTCTTAATATTTGTATATCTTCTGTACTGATTCTCTGCTCAGTCGGCTGTGAGCTTCATGACTTTAATCTGCAGCATTCACTGACCCTGACGGTGCAGGCAGACTTTGATTTATTTATTTATTTTTCAAATTAAGCTTTAATATAAACAAATGTTTTAGTTTTTAAGGTTGTTCTGAACTTGAAATAAAAACACAGTCAGATCAGTGTGCTCTGTTTTAAAGTTGTGATTTAGGTAAAAAAAATATAATTCAGTACGTCTTAAAGTCCTTCTCTGAGAGCACCGACCTCCATTTGTGGAGTGGCTGAGGCACAACAGTTTATTTCTATAATGATAAAGGTGTTTATTTGTGTGTGTCCGTTAAGGAGGAAATGGAGAATCCTAACTCTGCATTTTCTTTTTCAACCCAGAGCCGTGCAGAGACCAGACTCTGAAGAACTCAGTATGTCTGACTCACTGAGGAACCGCAGGTTACAACACTGGCTTAATGAGTAAGTCAACATCATGTTATTAAGATTTTTAGCATCTATATGAGTGAACAATTCTGCTGTTAGTGTTTGACCTGAAGAGAAAACAGCATACTTCAAATCAAAGTTCATCTGGTTTAATCCTGTTCTCTGTGCTGAACATATTCACAAAGTCAATAAAAACGACCTCCTTTCTAGATGATTTAAACGACTCGACATAGTCAAGAGAAAAGAGGAGGCTTCTTTTTAAAGAGGAGACATCCATTCAGAGCGAACACAATCTGCTTTATATCATATTCTAAAAGGAAAATCTGATGCATTCTTCATAGTTTCCCTGTAAGGACCAGTTGCTGCATGTTTGATCACAAACAGTCAAATTAGAAAGGCAAACATTGACATTATAGCATCATAAAGCAGACTCTGTTGCTTGTCAAAAAGGTTGAACCCCGGGTCGTCCACTTGGATGGCTTTAGCCTCCATACATGAGACGTTACGATCTGCTAGGTCATCAGTCACCTGTTTGTTGAACATTTTATAAAATGATAAAGAAAACTCATAACCTCTTTTTACTGATTCCACTGTTTTATATCATATTTAAAAATAATCTGGATTTTCTTTTGATATGAACTTTTTTCTGGTGAAGTTGCATCATAACCGTGTTTATTGTTACAGGCCCAACTCGACCTTCTCCCAATCGATGATAGATGGCGCTGAAGCAGCAGATGATGATAATGAGTCAGGATACTCATCTGTCAGTCAGTGAGTGAAATGTGCTTACATCTTATTCAGACTGACAGTTTTAAAAATATCAATATTTTGATGAGGCTTAACCGTATCAGTTAGAACTGACATCGAGTGCTTTCACACAGACTTGAGTATCACATTTTTTTATTTATTTTTTAAAGATTTCGTTTGAGGACAGATAAGTGGATAGATTTGGAAATCAGGGACAGAGAGTGGGGAGTGACATGCGGGAAAGGAGCCACAGGTCGGATTCAAACCCTCTATATATTGGGCGCGCGCACTAACCACTCAACTTAGTAATCAACAAAAAAATACAACTGATGTTTAGTGAATTTTTAAAAATCTACATATTACACCTTTAAGAAATTGTCTTATTTCAAATCTCAACACGCTGCTACTTTCATCAAACACTGGATGATGATTAACAACACACACATTCTCTCTGAAGTTCTTTGTTTTGATGAAGTTATGGATTTCCTTTAAATGTTTATTTTTTTTTCAAACTTGTTGTTGCTGTTGGTCCAGAAATGTTCCAAATAGTCAGGTTGATCAGGTTTAAAGTTCATGTAAGAATCAGGAGTTTATCATTCAGAGTGAACTAAATCAAGTCTGACTGGATCGATGTCTAATTTAGAAGTTTTAGTTTTTCATCTGTTGTTGTGGTTTGATATCTAACTATCTAATCTTTCTCTCTTTTTCAGCTTTCTCAGTGATGACGACCAATCATCAAGTTCATCTGATCCATCCCTCCACAGTGATTGGTCAAATGGAAAAATGATTGCTTTAAAGAAACTAGAAAAAAGTGACCCAAACAAGTAAGTGTTTTCATCAATGAATCCTGACAGTCATGTTTGTACACACACACACTGAGTCTGTTTTGCTGCATGTTTAAAAAACAAATACAATCTCATGTTGAGTCGATCATGTTTGCACTCTGAAAACTTTCATCTGTCTTTATTATTTTCACAACAGGTTTGTTTTTCTGTTTGAACACATCTGACTCAGAGTGCGAGGTTCCTGTGTAACGTTTTGATCGGATTACAGATCTGAAAAACACATTTTAAAAAAACAGACTCAGTGTGCAAAGACCTTAAAGATGAAACAACCCCCATGGTTGATGTAAAGCAAACGCCATGCTCCTGTTTAAAAGATGTTGAAGTGATGTTGAGTTTTCAAGTCAAATGTTTGACTGAAACATCAACACCTCCTCTCTACTTTGATCCTTTGTGTCATGGAATAAAGAAACAACACAGTGTTTAATGTGTTGCTCAGTGTCTGCTTTGCTCTTCATATTTCATTTGTAATAAAGAAACATCATCAGTGTGTCTCTTGTTGCAGGGATCGAGCATGCCAACGTCTGCAGAAACTGAAGGAACGACGAGAAGAACTTGTTTTGGCCGACCTCCCACCTGATTGGTGAGTAAAATGTATTTACAACATATACAGTATGTATTCTTTCAGATGAAGCTATGAACATCATTTAAATGTTTTTTTCTTCAGAAAGGTTTATTGATTTTTGTTTTCACTTATTTATAAAAATTATTGTTCCTGCTGGTTCAGAAATATCTCATATAAAAAACTCAGGTTTGATTTCCATATGAGAAGCTGGGTTAATCATTCAGAGTGAACCAGATCAAGTCTGACTGGACTAATCTTGAAGTTTTTCATCTGTTGTTGTGGTTTGATATCTAACTATCTAATCTTTCTCTCTTTTTCAGCTTTCTCAGTGATGATGACCAATCATCAAGTTCATCTGATCCATCCCTCCACAGTGATCGGTCAAAAGGACAATTAATTAATTTAAAAAATTAGAAAAATGCGACCCAGACAGGTAAGTGTTTTCAACATTGAATCCTGACAGTCATGTTTGTACACACACACACTGAGTCTGTTTTGCTGCATGTTGAAAAAACAAATACAATCTCATGTTGAGTCGATCATGTTTGCACTCTGAAAACTTTCATCTGTCTTTATTATTTTCACAACAGGTTTGTTTTTCTAACTTTTTTTTGATAAATTTTTTTTATTGATTTTCATGTTCAGGCAACATATACATTTATATATCACATGTCTGAGGAATCAACATTATGAATTTATCAAACATATCATTAATAGGTAAAACCTAATCTGCATTTCTATAATCAGTTTTATTTATAGCTGCAGATTGTCAATCCCTCCCTACTCCCTGTTTCTCGTGGCGACCAAACCCCCCCTCCCCCTCCCCCGCAAGATCTCTAACTATAAACACAAGTTCTGGAAAATATTCTACAATTCAACTAACTTAGTTAGAAAGTCGCACTCCCCTGACTACATTATTTTACATATTGCATATGTGATGTAATTGCATCTGTATATGGATGCATGTATTCGCACATACATGTTCATACACTCAAAACACATTTCTCTACACATTCAAAATAAAATCCACATATGTCAACACAGGTAACAGTTTATGAATTGAGGTGTATTAAGTCTTTTGGGAAATGTAGAAAACACCAAGTATTAAAGGGCAATTCATCACATTAACATTCACTTGTTTCTCAATAATACACAGTTCTTTTACTTATTGGTAGTTAATAATGCTTCAATTATAGTTAAAATCAACGTCCAAGATGATATGGTGTTTCTATTGGCACCATGGATTTTGGCTACAGAAAGTTCCATGTTAACTACCTCAAGATAAGTATTAATCCACTGTGATATTGAGAGAACATGTGAAAGTTGCCAGCGGAGAGCCAACATCTTTCTTGCGGCAGTAAGTCCAGCTAACATTATGCGTTTTTGTGAGTATGCAAGTTGTAGGGTAGTCTTGTGTGAGTGCAAAGGTATATCACAATTTAAGATTCTAGATAAAATAAGGCAAACTTGTCTCCAAAATTTTAGGATAGGATAGGATAATACTTTATTGATCCCCAGAGGGGAAATTCGGGTGTTACAGCAGCACAGACAAGAAAGCTCAAAAATACACATTAAACAGAATAGATAAGATAAATAAAAACAACAACATTTTGCTACATGCATTCCCAAGACATGTGCATAAATGAGCCAACCTGAGTATCTGAGCAGAGATCACAATTGATAAAGAAGACAGTTTCATAAGGTAACGTTTCCTGGGTGTAAGATAGGTTCTGTGAATGAAGTTAAGGTGTATTAGTTGGAGGTTTGGGTTTTTGGAAGAGTCAACGATAGTTCCCCATATCTTTTTCTAACTATCATCCTCCAAAGCTACCTCCAGTTCCCTAGACCACACTTGCTGGATGTACATGGATGTACACACTTGTATGGATGCTCTCCCACACTGGAGATGCAAATGGAACAGACCCAGTTAGAAGGGAATTATTATGAAATATAGGGCTGTGTGCCACTTCTGACTTGTTTTCGATTCTCTTTCTGTTTTGCGCCATATTGATAGGACTAAGATGGAGTTTGGCATGTTTTAGTGGTATGGCAGAGTAAACTAAATCCTTTAATCTATGAGGATGGGCTATGTATTCCTCTATAGGTTTCCATGACACCACAGCATCAGGGTTAAACCAGGATGAGATAGGCCTTAGGACAAATGACCAGGAATAGTATTTAAAATTTGGGACGGAGAGACCTCCTGATGATTTATGACGTCGCAGTGTGGATAACTTAACACAGGGTCGCTTCCCTCCCCAAATGAATTTAGTCACAAGTGACTGAATCTTGTCCTAGTATGTCCAGTAGTGGTGGTAATGGCAACATGGAGGAAAAGAAGTTTACCCGTGGTAGGATGTCCATTTTTACTATGGAGACGTGAGCCTGAAGAGAAATGGGGAATTTGACCCATCTATCTAGATCGACAGTTATACATTTATAATTATTCCAATAGTTGTTTGTCATAATGCTATTAAGAGAAGGAGAAATGACCTCTCCCAGATATTTAAATTGTTTGACCATAGGAACTAGTGCTGGTAAGGAAGATGGGTCTAAGTAGGAATTTAATGGTAATAAAGCCGATTTGGACCAGTTTATTTTGTAGCTGGAATGGGTTCCAAATTCATTAAAGGTTTCAAGAATGTAAGGAATGGAGGTAGGTGTTTTATCTACATATAGTAGTATATCATCGACTGCTATTGTGGAAAACTATAGGGGAGATGTAAGGATGTTGTCTGATTTTCTGGGCAAGAGGTTCTAGCAACAGTGCAAATAAAAGAGGGCTTAAAGGGCAGCCTTGGCGGCATGAACGTGAAATGGGAAATCTATTAGAGATGTTGTAATTTGTAATAAATGTGGAGGTCTTCTGTGATCTTAATCCCGTGTGAATCTGCCATGTCTGTTATTTGTGAAGTAAAAATTCCACCGCAAATTACCTACGGTATGTCACCAAACACACAGGTCATGTGATAATATTAGTCCCGTGCAAATCGGCATCTCGTAATTTGGGTAGTTTTTTAATTTATTTTTTTAAGGTTGTTTGTCTTCTCCCTGACTTTTTTCTGCCTTTTTCCCGGTGGAGAATTATGGAGGCTGCATTGCCAATTCTAAATGAAAGATCTGACAGCATTTTGGGTGCAAATTCAGGAGGCTCATCTAGCTACACAGCATGGAGACCCAATCGCAGAAAGAGCAAGCTCAAATCCATCAGGAGAGAGAAATCTCCAAAGATGATAAGATGGAACATTTTTCTATATTTTACGCATATATTACTTAGAGCCTTGTGTTATACGAGTAGTGTATGTCTGTCTGTGAATGGCTCAGTGCGAGTGAGGAAAGAGAACAAGCCGGACTCTCCGTGTCTGTTTACAACTTGCTGCAGCCCAGTTAAAGGGACGGGGGTCAGCTCGAAGTTTAGGGCTACAACTTTGGCTCTGAAGCAGACCAATAAGTCTCCGCCGTGTGCTCCGACCACGGTCGGAACGCCGAAGCAGGAAAGGTTAACACATGACATCATATCTGGGGGATAAAATCAGTATATTCGAGTTCAAAAACAGACTTAACTTATCCCGTGTGAATGTGCCGCACGAAACACAGACGAGGTGATGTCATTTCTAAATCACATGAGGTCCCCAGGTAATACTAGTGCCGTGTGAATAGGGCTTTAATCATATATGATTCCATGCAGTTAGTTAAAATACGAGCACATAATTGAAGTTCTGAGTTCAAAATTGACAGAGGTCTGAAATTACTGCATAAAGTATTGTTGGGGTTTTGCAGAGCTAATACACAGGCAACATTTAAGTTGGGTTTTAGTATATAGTAACATTTGGTTATTAAATTAATATAAATAATTACCCTTAATTCATTATTAATATACTGTAAAACAACAATATTATTAACTAGAGTTAAAAAACAGGAGCACCACTGTGGGATCAGAGAACATGAACCAAATATCATAAAATCAGTCTCAAATGAATGAATTAAATACTAATATTATCAATAATTAACAACCTGTATTTAATAAATTGCAGACGTGAAATCTGTACATAAAGCCCTCGCAACTAGTTGTATCACAATGCAAATACACCAGTAATCACAAACAACTGATCTTAAATAAAACAGAATTTATTTGAACAAAGCAACATCAACTGCAATCAATGAAACTCAGTCAAACAAATAACTATTATAAACTAAGTTACAGCAAACAAAATATCTACAAACAAACCACGTAGTGTGTGTGTGTGTGTGTGTATGTGTGTGTGTGTGTGTGAGGGGGGGAGAGATAGAGGGCAGATGAGAGCACCATGTGGAGCTACGTCACGTAGGTACAAAATGGTGGACAAAGACAAAAGAAGCCGTGTGGCTTAGTTTGAGCTCTCTGAGCTGAGTTCAGTAACTGTTACTTAAACACCAGAAAGCCAGTGGCCGGACTTTGATTCAACAGCAGGTACACTGGTCTTTCTGATTGTGAAAGCCGTTGACTGAAGGTAAACTAGCATAGCATTACATACATAGACGAACACAGCAGTTCATCACAATAAAACAAATGCAGCAGCTTACAACAAATAATAACAGAATGTGATGTAATGTGATGTAAGATAAATAAAAATAAAAACAGGGGGTATATACAGTACAAAATGAATGATGAAGTTAACTGGGGGGAATTAAGAATTGAGACAGTATTTGCAGGGAATGACAAGATAAAGTGACAAGTAATTAAAGTGGCTTGGTATGATAAATAGCAGCAAGTAATGTAAACATCAGAGAAGAGAGGCAGTGTTGTACCACAGTTGAAGTGATGTTGAGTTTTCAAGTGAAATGTTTGACTGAAACATCAACACCTCCTCTCTACTTTGATCCTTTGTGTCATTCATGGAATAAAGAAACAACACAGTGTTTAATGTGTTGCTCAGTGTCTGCTTTGCTCTTCATATTTCATTTGTAATAAAGAAACATCATCAGTGTGTCTCTTGTTGCAGGTATCAAAATGGCAACTTCTGCAGACAGAGGGAACGCTTCAAATCGAAGAGAAGATTTTTGGCCGACCTCTCACCTGATTGGTGAGTAAAATGTATTTACAACATATACAGTATGTATTCTTTCAGATGAAGCTATGATCATCATTTAAATGTTTTTTCTTCTGAAAGGTAAATTGATTTTTGTTTTCACATATTTATAAAATTATTGTTCCTGCTGGTTCAGAAATATCTCATATAAAAAACTCAGGTTTGATTTCCATATGAGAAGCTGGGTTAATCATTCAGAGTGAACCAGATCAAGTCTGACTGGACTAATCTTGAAGTTTTTCATCTGTTGTTGTGGTTTGATATCTAACTATCTAATCTTTCTCTCTTTTTCAGCTTTCTCAGTGATGACGACCAATCATCACGTCCATCTGATCCATCCCTCCACAGTGATCGGTCAAAGGAAAAAAATTTATTTCAAAAAATAGAAAAAGCAAGCGAAACAGTAAGTGTTTTCAGCAATGAATCCTGACAGTCATGTTTGTACACACACACACACACACACACACACACACACACACACACTGAGTCTGTTTTGCTGCATGTTTAAAAAACAAATACAATCTCATGTTGAGTCGATCATGTTTGCACTCTGAAAACTTTCATCTGTCTTTATTATTTTCACAACAGGTTTGTTTTTCTAACTTTTTTTGCATCCTTCCAATCCGTGTTCAGGATCAGTTTCTGTGTGTAAATTGGTGGTGTTCCTTTAATGTGTAGTTTCAGTATAGCTAGCAGCGTATCAAACTCTGACATCCTGAAATACACCTGAAGTGATGCTGATCATTCTGCAGCTCTTTTATCAACAGGGGAAACTCTCCTGGCTCTTGTCTTGTTTTCAGGAGTGGGTGGACCCAGAGGTTTTTTTTTTTTTTTTTAAGGACTGAAAGAATCACAAAGTCATCCTCACGGCTCGATGACTCCATTCTGTCTCACACTGACAATTTTCAGAATGAAGAGAAGAATGAACACATCTGACTCAGAGTGTGAGGTTCCTGTGTAACGTTTTGATCGGATTACAGATCTGAAAAACACATTTTAAAAAAACAGACTCAGTGTGCAAAGACCTTCAAGATGAAACAACCCCCATGGTTGATGTAAAGCAAACGCCATGCTCCTGTTTAAAAGATGTTGAAGTGATGTTGAGTTTTCAAGTCAAATGTTTGACTGAAACATCAACACCTCCTCTCTACTTTGATCCTTTGTGTCATTCATGGAATAAAGAAACAACACAGTGTTTAATGTGTTGCTCAGTGTCTGCTTTGCTCTTCATATTTCATTTGTAATAAAGAAACATCATCAGTGTGTCTCTTGTTGCAGGGATCAAAGTCTGCCGCTAGAGGGAAGATTTTTAGAAGAACGTTTCTGGCCGACCTCCCACCTGATTGGTGAGTAAAATGTATTTACAACATATACAGTATGTATTCTTTCAGATGAAGCTATGAACATCATTTAAATGTTTTTTTCTTCAGCAAAGGTAAATGGATTTTTGTCATGTCTCTATTGTTCATGAATGAATGTTTGTTTCATATTTTAATTATGAAATTTTGTAAATCAACATTTTAAAGCCGGACCGTCTTCTCCTTCAGAGAAAATGACATGTTGCTTTATTAATGAACATTTTGTTCAACGACACAAAGTATAAATAACATGTTTCTTTTTTTTTTTTACACTTACTTTGATCATATAAAAAAAATGAGCTGCTTTTGATTTTAATGTTTATTTTGATGAAGAATAATCATACAATGCTTATTACTCCATGCAGGATGAAGAGGATGAAGAGGAGACTAAATCAGTGATCTAAAAGTCTGAACTTTGTGTCTGGACTTTGGGCTGACTGGTTGTTTGAAAACCATGTTGAGTATAATGATCTGTAGCTCTTTTTGTGACAGCTTGATTTGGATACTTATGGATAAAACAAATGTAAATGATAAGATTTGTTAGTGACATAAGATGATGAAGTCAACTCAGCCTTAATAACAACTGTTGTTTTCTATTATCTTACTGTCATCTGTGTACTCATTCTTTCATTTTCTCTGCTGGGATTCTTTTGATTGATTGAAGTCTTTATTTCAAATTTGTATTTTCTTTTTTTGTCAGGATAAAAAAACAAACAAAACAGATCCACAAAAAGAAAAGTAAATAAGACAACAGAACATTTGAATTTCATGTTCGTAAAGGAGTGGGAAGAAGTGTGAATTTATAGAATCCCACCCCCTCTCCGTTAATCTGTAGTTAATAGTTGAACAGGCTTCCTTATTTAATCTTCATTTACGAATAAATAAATAACGAATCTGCAATACACATTTATATATATAAACCAATAAACATACAAAATATATAAATTAAATACAAATGTGTTTCTGCAAAATATAATTTCATCTATCATCCATTAAAAAAAGATAAGGACAGCACTCCAAATTTGTGTATTTAATTGCCAAACGAACGTTTCGAGCCGACGCTCTTCTTCAGCGTGTAACAGGCAATTTTTCAACCATGCACAGGTGTAATCAATTTATACTTGTCCAAGATGGGCACACCTCCATCGCAGTAGAGAGTCTATCATTTTCTGTCTATCATTTATCAACCATTGACATATTTTAACATGTATTGATTTCTTTTATCTTCTATATTCATGTTCTTCTCCCTTAATTAATGATATACAGTTTGTAGTAATACATTTAAGTTAGTGTTTTTTCTCCATTACCTATTTACCCTTCACCATACCTGTCAACATATTTACATATATACCTTCATTCCTTTTAGAAAAAACAAACAGAAAAGAAAAATGAACAACCGTTATAATCACCATCATAACCACGCAGCAAATGTTTAGTCCTTCTGCATCCTTATACTTTCTGAAAATGTTTTTTTTTTTTTGTACATGTTTTAAAAGTTGTTTGTGCTTGGACTTGGCTTCAGCTCCACATTTAAACTGTTACAAAGTTTTATGCCAACAATAGAAACAGAAAAACTTCTGAATGTTGTGCGTGTGGCCAGAATTTTGAGATTCAGTTGTCTCCATATTGTAACCCCCCTCTCTATCAAAGAATAGTTTTGGGATATTTGCTGGTAGTAAATAGTTTTTTTTCTTTGTACAGTATTTGTGCTATTTGAAATTCTGTGAGTTTGAGTGTTTTTGACTGCAAGAATAATGACTGAGTGTGATCCCATATCCAGCGTTATGAACGAAGCCTATGGCTCTTTTCTGAAGTACGGAGAGTGAATGCGGTTAACTTTTATGTGTTGCCCCGAACCTCCTCTCAGTAACTTAAATATGGTAAAACAAGTGTACTGTAGAGGGTATGGAGAGATTTGTGATTTATTTATCTATTGTTACCCCAACAAATGTGTATACATAAACTCTTTCAATGTGACACCATCTATTTGTACTGTATTTTTGTGTTTGCTTTATATTTACCAAATAAAATAATTTTTATGTGATTCAAATTTAATGACAATTTATTTCTATCAAAGCACTTTTTTAATTGTTGCCATTTCTGTAGTAATAACCTCTAATAATTGTAGATTCTCACCTGAACAAAGAATATTGTTATCATCTGCAAATAAGACCAGCTTCAGTTTATTAGAGACTTTACATACAGTATGTCATTAATGTATTAAATAAACAGATTAGGACCCAACACTGACCCCTGGGGGATGCCACAAGCAATGTCCAAGCACGATGATTAAAACTCCCCAACTTCACAAATTGTTGCCTACGATACGATCCCCCTGATGCCACATCGTTCTAGTTTATTGATCAGTATTTCATGATTTATTGTGTCAAATGCTTATTTGTAGTCCAAAAATACCCCAACTGCTTTGTGATTTCCTCTTGATTCTATTAATGCGAATGATGTGGAATGGTTTGTCTGAATCTGTATTGTACGGTGGCTGGGAAGTACAAACCAAAAGACAAATTCACTCTCTGGAAATAATTATTTACATTTTAGAAAACAAATTTAAAAGGTGTCAAACACTTTTACGAGCGCTGAGAGGAATTTACAAATGCCAGAATCTTGACGGAAAGGGAATGTACCAAATGCCAGAAGCGGTCACTTAACCTGTTTTCACATATGCAGACTATTCCTGTATCACAATGTCAACTAAAGAGTGAGAACAACATACTGACAACAGAAAACTTAATGCAGTCGTTTAATTACCTGCATGGAGATCGTACGGTGTATACACTTTATGCACCGTGCAGCAGTCACAGTATACACGTCACTCCCCCCTCCCATTGGCTCGAGGTGAATTCTCCAGAGAATATCCTGCTGCGTTCTCACATCAGCTGACTTGGATTTGCTGTGGAAAAAAATACTATGGTGTGTGGCAGGAGAAACTCCGGGTGAAGTCTGAATGAAAAATTTGGCTGTTTGCGTTCACACATGCAGCTCCTCCTGGAAATATCCTGATTTTTTTTTTAGAATTTTTCTGAAAGTGTGTAAGCCTTTTCCTGTCTCTCTTCAGCTGTCCTATCAAATAAAGGTAAATATGGCCCAATAGACTGCGTTAAACTTTGTTTTGTCCTTTGTGAAAGTGTTTTCCTTTTGTAATTTTTAATTCATAAAATGTTTTCCAAAATTTAAATTTGTCTCCAGCTTTGTAAAAGTATTTCACACTTACTTTTTCAAGTAAGCAACAGCCAAATAAGTGTGAAGTATAGCTGTATTAAGTGGCATAAATGAAGAAGGAAAAACAAACAAAAGAATGGATAGGTATAGGTAGTGCTAGTAGACTAAATTACCTCAAAACTGTACTAAAGTTCAGTATTTAATTAATGTTAATTTAGTTTATAGTTAGATTTATCAATAGCTGGATAAATACACAATACGTGAACCAAAGCGGAACAAATACATTATAAATAACCAGAGGAAAGATATTTTTTATGAGTATTTATTCCATAATCCTGTCCTGTCCAGCATCAAACGCACTGTTTTGAGTTTTTGCCTGATGCCTCTGTACTTCTGCCTGGTTATCCTCATTTTTGGTTTTGACCTCTGGGACGGACTGAGTTTTGCTCTTCCTGAAAACTTCAGTAAACTCTCAGTTTGTGCCTTACTCCTGCCTCTGCCCTGTGATTCTGCGTGTGGGTCTTCTCTGATTTGTAATAGAAGTCAAAAGTTCCTGCAGTGTTTGGGATGATCTGAATCACTATCATTGTAAGGTACAGAGCATGAATATGTCACTTAAAATGTGAACTTAATTCAACTGTTAGTCTAAGACCTATAGGAGAGAAAAAGCATACTATTACCAAATGCAATGCTTTGTTTTCGAGGCTTTTTATGCCTTTATTTTCACGACAGGACAGTGGATAGAGTCAGAAATCTTTGGTGTCGGAAACATAGGCAAAACGTGTTTCCGAGTTGTAAAATGCTCATGATGGGCAAAATATGTTTGTTAATGTTGACATACTTTTATTTTTGCCTGGTTTCTTGTTATTACCTCGTTTAGCTTCACTCTCGCTCCTAAAAACA